GAATTATTATTTATAAATATTTCACATTTATAAAGTTTATTATTTCATAATATCATTTATTTATAATAATAATGAAAGAATTCTAATTTATAAAAATTAATATTTCAAATTATTATTAATTAAGAATAATAATGAAAGAATTACTATTTATAAATAATTGAAATATAAAAAAATTATTATTTCATATTATCATTTATTAAAAATAATAATGAAAGAATTATTATTTATAAAATTTATTATTTTTAATTTAGTATTCTGTATCTGTTAAATAATCCCAGAGATTCATATTTGAATCTCTGGAATTATATTCATCTCTTTTTTTAATTTGTATTCTAATTAACTTATTTAAGATACATTTGACTATTCATTTCAGGATCAGTAGCTTATATTAATCAATTAGGAGCAGGAAGGAAATCATATAATTGCATATTTATATATTAATTAAACATTTATTAAATTACTTTTTATTGCATTTATTTCTATCATATTTTTGGTTCTCTTAAACTTTAAATATAAGCTATATTTAAGACTTATTATATGGATGATCTATTTTAATCTTTTAAAACATATCTAATAAAGATAAGTAAGATAAATTAAGTTGATAACATAATCAAAATTGGTATTGGTTTAAATAAAAAAGATAAATTGTATAAATATTTTTATTAATCTATGAATTCATTATAATATTTAAATCTTTCCAAATTTTATTACAATTCTACTTGATAATAATTTTAATTCAATTTTCTTCAATTAACACTATTTTGATTCATCCTTCATAAAAAGAATAATAATGAATAGATTTTATACACTCTATTAGAAAAAAATAAACTTGTATCATTTATTTGGGAGTTTGAATCGAGAAAGAACAAGTTGTTATTATTAAAAATTGGAGATGAAGAAGAAGTCAAAAAATAAAGATTGATTTATTAATACTTTAATTTTCATTTATACCATAAATTAGAATCTTCAAAAATCTATATGTTCCAATAACCAAATTGAACCAATAAATCCTATAGCTATTAAAAATGCTTAGAATTTTAAAAGTTTGTATCTAGCTACATTGAATTCTTCTACAATCACTTCAATTGTGGATATATATAAAAATGTTCCTGCAGAAATTGAATAAAATATACTCACGATAATAATTCTATTTGATGACAAAATCCATCCTATCGAAATACCTAATGGATTCATTAAAGCTTAGAGAACTATAAGCTTTTTTGCTTTTGAATGAGTAACCTTTGCCTTTTTAAATGTCAGTCATAAAGTAAGACCTACAGCCTATATATTATTTAATTTGATATATACCCATTTATCACAAAAAACTGCTAATGCAATGCCTATGCATCGAATAAGATTTGTTTCTATTCCAATAGCTAAACCTTCGAAGATTGCATGAATTCTTACTGCCAATTAAAGTAAATAAGGAGTTAAGTTTGAAGATTTATTAGTTTTTTTAATTTTAGTTTTATTTTTTATTTCTTTGAAACTTACTCTTTGAGCCATTTTAACTTAAGAAGAGATAGCATTTCTTAATAGATCCTCATATGCTTAACTTTCAACTTAATTACAGCATGCTCCAATTTAACTACAACAAACACTCTCATCTGTTTTAAGTAATTCAACATTTTATGTAGGTTATACATCAACATGCTATTTTAATAATTAAATCAGGCACTTCTGAATGTGAATGTTTATGATTTGTCACAATTTTTTCAATAAATAACATTAATGCAAAGCTTAGAATTGTAATTAAAAATGGAAAAGGAAATAATTCTTTTTTTGAATTTTTATGATTATTCATATTTGTCCTATGATTCAGGCAATAAATGTAAGAGAGCGACTGATAAAAATAAACCTCCTGAAAATGCTTGACTAATAGACACTAATGGCTAAAAATATAATATGAATGTAGCAGACTTAACAAATATAATAAGATTGTCATTATCATAATTCTGATCCATTTATAAATAATTATCATTTTTTATTAATCATTATTACTCTTTTTGCAATTCGACTAAAGATAGTTGAATTCTTTATTTAGAGAAATCATCTAATTCTACATCTCCAACGACTTAAAATTCAAAGTCCTTACAAATAACAGGCAAAGAAAAACATATACCTTTTGGAATTCCATAATGATTTCCATCAGATATTACCTTGTATATTGAAATATCATACTCCAAAAGATGTCCAGTTATCTTACTATGTACCTAAAAACCATGTTCTTAAATGATCTTTCACTGCAATAGCCCCTGAGATTGTACTCGCTCCTCTAGATAGTTATAATAATTATCCTCCTCTTTATTAAACTTACTAAATAAGAGCATTTCTTAAGAAATCCTTTGAAAATGTTTCTGATGCTTGTTTACCGTTGATAATTGAATGGGTCATATCTGGATATTATGTAAGAGAATGATTTCCCATATAATCACTCTTTTGATTTAATCAATAGTTGTATTGGCTTCTCTTGCGAGCTAAAATACTAAGAATTATCATACAGTCGAGACACATCTATTGTGATCTAATTACATAAGAGATGTAAAATTTTATTATGGGATTTTAGTACACTAATGAGCCAAAGTAGCACAATTAGTATTGCTAGGATTTGCCACAACTAAAACTTTAAAAGTTGTTTTAGCTTATTCATTTAAGATTTAACCCTGTATTAATAAATTCAATATTAAACCTATTGTATAAATATTTCTCTGTTCATTTACAAGAGATCACTTCTTTCCATTCCTGGTTTTCGAGGCATTGCTCCTAGAAATATTGCAACATCTGCATCTTTAAATGCAACTTCTGGATCACTTGACACAATCACATTATTCAATAGAGGAAATGCACAGTCTTATATTTGCATTTTAATTCCTTCTAATTCTTGTAATTTCTCAGGTAATTCCAATTGTTACAATGAGAATTTCTAAGTTGATCCAAATACTTAACCAGATCCTAAAAAAGGATAACTATATTTCAATATATTTAGTAATACCAGCCCCAGTAATTGCTATTTTTAATTCTTCGAATTTTTGCATTTTAATTTTATTTATGTAATAAATCAGAGTTCGATAAATTCTGTTGCTAATTCACTACTATATTCTTTTTTCTTTTTGTTTATAAAACACATTTCAAAACAATTTCCCAAACTCAAATGTGATTATTCCATTTATAATTATTAATCCTTGTTTAATTATTATGATCCGCCTTAACCTTATTCAGTGGATTCCATTGATTAATCCTCACTTTAATTTATTGCACTTTTTCATTTGATTTTACATCTTTTGTAACAGGAGCTCTCTCTCAGAAGTAATTTATCCTGTCAATAAATTTATTGTCGATATATAAATCAAAACTTTAAATTATTAATATTTATTACCCTAATAGTAAAACAAATAGAAAGCAATATACGATGACATAATAAAATGTAACTTTTTTACCTATCAAAAGCCAATCTTCAGTAAATGTAAATCATCTCTGAACCATATTGAAATTATAATGAGAAAATTGCATAAAGAATTGCAGAATAAATTCCAAAAATAAACTGATAATGAAAAAATAAAACACAAAGTGATTTCTAGTTGTATAAATAATTTATTTACTTTGCTCCAACTCAATTATTTATCCAAGGACAATTATGATCGTAAACCATAACACATTACTAACAAACATCACAATGTTTTGATCTTTTAGGTCTAACCAACTACTATGAGTGTATGTAAAAATACTTTACAATCAGCACAAATGTTTGAACAATTATATCGTTCCAATGTTTATAACATATCTAATTTATTATCTGTTTTTACTACTCCAGCATCTTTGGAACAGGATATAAAGAAAAATATAACAGTTATGCTCGTTAATGCAAAAAATATCCACATCCAAATTGTACTAAACTTCTTTTTTTTATTTTAGTTTTTATAACTCCAAGTATTAACTATTGAAATAAGATATCTACATGGAAAAGTGAACGCTATTGTTAGTAAAAAACAAGTCATATACATAGATAGAAAGGCAATCTAACTATTCCTCTTTTAAGTGACAGGTCTGAATGACTATCGAACATTGCAAAAAATTAGAATATCATTTTTATCTCGCTAAAGTTGATTAACAATATTTACAATCATTGTTGCAACTGTCTTATAGTCGCTTTCAATTGCTAAGTCTAAAGCAGTTTTCCCACTTGAATCTTTTATTGAACGATCTGCTCTCTTCATTAAAAGTTTCCGAACTATTCTAGAATTCGCTTACATCGTTGCTAAATGTAATGGAGTGACAGAAGTATCTGTGTCTTCAAGATTTAAATTAGCATTCCATGAGATCAAAAAATTTACTGCATTGAATGCACCAGAATAAGCAGCCCAATGTAATGGTGATGAACCTTTATTATCCACAATATTAACTTATATTCCTTTCTTAAGATAATAATATATTGTTAATGGGCAATCTCCTTAAGTTGCAGTATGTAAGACCGTTAGATCTTTTATAACAAGCTATAATACCTTTATAATTTTTGATTTGGTAATCAGCCCAATATTATTCAAGCAATTTTATTGTTTTCTAATATTATAAATAAGAATACCAATGAGCCTCGGTATGCTGCAAGGTGCAATGCTGTGAACCCTTCATCATTTTGCTAATTAACCCATTACTCAACTTCTTATTTTGTATGAATATTTTTATCTATTTATGCTTAAATGTATTAAAAATACAATTCACTTAATTGTTCGTTTTGTTGTAACAAGAAAGATGAATTATATAATTTTTGTGTTTTAAGGATTAGCAAATTTTGATTATGATTTTCGTAAATGATGGCTTTGACATTATAAGTATCATCAGAGTTTGTATAATCTAATAGAGAACCGATGGCTTAACTGTTTCTTCTGGATGATCTCGACATAAAATAAATTAAAATATGTAATCATTATACATCACATAAAACTATAATCAAAGTGATTGTCTGTCATCAATTTAAGTAAACATATGTGTACTATAACTATCACATTACTATTATGAAGGTCGAGCTGTCATTAGCTTTTCAAAGGAGATTCTTTCTTTGTTTTTTAAACTTATGAAAGTGTCGTAATATTAAAATTAGAGAAACAAACACTCTTTTTGTTGTTGAGTCTAAAATTTTTGACTAAATCTCTCTTAACAGTGAGAGGAAGAATATGAAATTTGGGTTTTAAAAAATTTTCAGGAGGTTTCTTTAAATTTAATTTATTTTCTAACATAAATCTTCCTCTTTTGATACATTTTAACTATTTCATTTTCGACTATTTTTATTTTATATAATAAGATACAAAATTAGATAAATAAGACTGTAATATCGTTACTTCATATCCAAAATCAAATTCCTAAAATTCACAACTTTTTATTAATTTATGAAATGTTTTTTCTCTATCAATTATTTTAGAAATGCAATAATTTTAAACACTAAAATTGGAATATTTAGTTAAAAAATGTTATTTTTTTAAACTTTCAACAATATGTATTGTATCCTAATCTATTACTACATCATCGATTTCAGTCAATAATCTTACCTATTCATTTGTTAAAAATTTATTTGACGAATGTTAAGCTCTCTTCTTCTATAATAATTATAATAATCTCTATCTATTTTAAGTTTTAGGACCCTAATCTTCAATCAATTACTATCTGCATTCTTCAGGAAACTTATGAATAAATTCATTTGTATCTATAACAATAACAGTAGCCAACAATGATGTAACTATACAACTATATTCATATGTTCCTGTCTTATTAATTATAATTTCTTCTCCAATTAAATACCCTGATGATATTATACATAAAGAAACATGTCTATTATCAACTTTTTTTTATAAAGTCAAAATCTCTATTTATCACTAAATAGAATGCATCACCTTCTTCATCCTCCGTTGATAATTAAGTTCCTCTATCGTATGTTATTGTTTAACAACTATAAATCATACTTTCCAATCTTTAAGATGAATATTCATTATTTACATCTAAAATTATTTAATTATTCATTTTACTTTTGAATATTTTGAACATTAATTACTATTTCTCCTTCTTTGTTTTCTCAAACGTCATCTAATAAGTAATAAAATCATCTTTGTTCAAAACTACTACAAACAATTCATGACTATAACATGCAACAGTTAATGACCTAGGAATATTCTCAACCAAAGCTTTCTCCCCAAATCCTGTACCAACTCCTAATAACCTTATACATTCTCCATATTTATTTTCCAATTATAATTTATCTTCTTTAGAAATAGAAGTCTCCTTATGAATGTTATGATGTCTTATTCTCTTGTTGGTAAACTTCTTAGCATTTAGAATTTATGCCATTTTTAATTATGGCTAATGAACTTGTTCTGAATTCTATCTCTATAAAGACATCAACTAATCCATCTTTTTCTACCTCATTAACATAACTTCTCCATATTATATCATATAAAGTTTATCATTTGTGTATCATTCTCTTAGAATAACACTTATTCTCCCTTAATGTATTCCACCCTCAAACGAGAACATAACTATAAACTACTTAATATAAAAATACTTCCAAAATATCATTCCTTTGTGTTCCTTTCTGCAATTTCTCAGAAACTAATTGTTTAAAGTAAGGCAGTTCTTCCATCCTTTATAAAATGTAATGTAATTCTTCTCTTGTATGATTCTCTTTATTCATCGTAAGAAACATTTTTATAGCATCATGTAATTATGGATTATCACAAGTTTCATTGAGTGGCTTTGAATATATTTAATTCATTAATATTTATTTATCAATAGTCATTTTAGCGACATAAAAATAATAGTTCAGTATTATATCTTATCAAATATATTAGATGAATCATTCTTCTTTATAACAGATTGTAGTAGATATATCGGATAAATTATTCAAATATATTTTACTTTGATTTATTAGTGCAATTGAAATTCCTCTCAATTTATTAATTGAATTAATAAATTATTTTTAGTTCCTCAAACCTTAATGTATAAATTAAACACATTACTTCAAATCGAATAAATGATTTCCCCACTTAAATTCTATTTTTATTATTAAATTAAAAACAATCATTTAATAAGTTAGTAGATTGTTTCCAATTAAACTTTTTAATTTTATCATAATTTATAATATCAATATGATATCATAAATTTTTAGAATTTTCTTTTAATAAGCTCTCTCTTCCTTTTATTAAATTGGCAATTAATTTTTCTAAAATTATCACAAACTCAAATAGTTTTATCAAAATTCTAATTATAATTTCTAATCTATTAATGATTAAAAGATTTATTAAATTAATTTGATAGTACCCAAATTTATTTCATCTTGAATTAATAATCCAAAAAAGATTATTACTTAAATTACATATTATCAATTATTTATCAACAAAATTAATGATACGGTTGAATAATTAAAAAGAAGTTTAATTGTATGGATACAAATATCAAATACTTTAAAGTTCTTATAAACTTTTAACTTTTGAAAATTAAATTTTCATTCTAAAGATTAAGCATCATAATCTTTCCGCTAATCTTTTGCCAAATCTCTTTATTTTTTAAGGAAAATTAACAAGCTATAAGTGATTTATAAATAAATAAGACTCAATCAGAAGCTTTATAAAATCTGATAATATTAAAGTAAATTGACGATTTTACAAATTTAAGAATTGTTTGATAAAATGAACTTAATTAGAAGAATAAATTCTAAATAAGCGATTTCATAGAAAGTGGTGAGTTCTTTGAATATTAATATTTGGTATTCATATTTAGAACAATTTTAAAATTTGAAAATTATTTAATAAATCTAAATCTACTGTAAAAATAAAATATAAAATCCAAAAATTTATAAAAATAATTAACAGTTAAATGTTTCTTTAATATAGCATATAAAATGAATTGATAATTAAATATGAACAATGTATAAAGATAATTCATTGTAAACTCTTTAATTGATTCATTAAATTTTCTAAATAGTTATTATCTTTATTTGTATTATTGGTTTATTATTATTATGATTCCTATTAGGGTTATTAATTTAATAATTATTATTAAATTTGTGTTTCATTAATTGAGATATCGTCAGGTACAACCTCTATTCCCCATTCATTTTCAGTATGAACAATTTATTATTTCTGTTGAGATTGTTCTTTTCTTTTTTATAATTTATTTAATCGTAATTTCTCTGAATTAAGGTTTTATCTTTTCAAACAATTATGATCTTTACATTCAGGATTAGGCATAATAGCATATTTTAAAAAAAAGTCAGCTAAAGCATTATAACCAAGGAAAAATGTGGTTTATCCAAAACCTAATAAATACTTAAGAGTATTCTAAGAGCAGTAATGCCCATAGTTGTTGGTGATGATGCTGCACACACCTTCTCTTTTTTTTATTTTTCATTATCTTCAACAACAGCAACAGAGACGGCATATGCAAAACATGCAGTTTCGCCAGGAAGCATCAATTAAATGTCTATAAATTTTAATAACAACATTACCTATTCATATTTGCTAATTCTACTTTATCATAATCATACATAATCAATTTTCCGATTCCACAACGTGTTAACAATTCACATAAAACTGATCCTACTCCACCTACACCAACAACCAAAACTGTAAACTCTTTTATTTATTGATAATTTTCAACTATTCCCATACGCTTCAATGCCATCAATCTACTGTAAGGATTGGCATTCCTTACTTCTTCACTCATTTCTCTTTATTACATTTTTCTAATTATTATTTATATGAATAATTAATTTTTACCTGATGAAGATGATCCTCAAACAAAAGAAGAAAGGAAAAATTTTTATCATTTAAAACTGATTTTCTATTATACAAGATTTTTGGAAAAGAAACTTCTTTGGGAAAGGAACTTTTTTAATTATACAATGCTCATGAAAAACCAAAAATCAATTATCCGAAACCCAAATAAAAAACATAAGAGTAGTTAGATGCTGAAAAAGTTAAAACATAAAAAATAATGTCCACAAAAAACTGGTATTGAATATCCAAAAGAAGAACCTAAAATAAAATAATAATATTTTCCAATTGATTTCATCTAAAAAAGAAAACCAGAAGCAGAAATTAAAAAGGAAATCGATAAATATTATGAAGGTAGAAAATACTTTAGACCTGCTATTTAAGGACAAGATAAAAAAAAATTAATCGAACAATTATAAAGAGTATTTAAATATAAAAGAGGAGCATTACCTAAAGGTGCTGAATTACCTGAAATAATATTAACAATAACGATGCATTTCTGAAAGATTCTGCAACAACTTCAAATGCTATAAAAAAAATGCATAAAAAAGACTTATATTTTACTGGATTAAAACCTGACAATTAATCTGATACAACAACTTTATAAGGGATCCTTAAATTGAATTGGAGATTCTCTTCTCATCTATCATGAAAGAAATAGAAGAAAGACAAGAATTTCTCCAGGAAATAGAACATTTAAATGAACATAAATTAAAGCAAAGAATCAAAGATGAAATTATAGAAAGAGTTGCTGAATTATAAAAAGTTTAAGATTTAAAAAGACAATATTGCAATTGATTATTTATTATTTCAATACCATATTTAACTTTATTTTTAAGAATATTTATTTATCATGTAGTAATATATAAATTTAGAACTTATTTAATATATTATTAAATAAGTTCTAATATTAAAATTGATATGAATCAATAGTGTTCAGATATTTATAAAATTTTGCTCACTTCTGCTAAATCAAAAGGTAAACTGATATATTAATCTATTCCATTCCTATAATATTCAATTTTAGAATAATATTCAATAAGTCCTGTTGTTCCAATTATATATCCTTTTTAGGTCATTTTATCCTTAATGTATCTGCTTAACCATAAACCTCCTCTTTTTGGTAAATCCACATTTATAAAATACAAAACAAATCCAATATTACCACATGAACATTTTTTTTGTTTCAAATAACTTTATTACATCTTCAGTACTAAATGCTCTTTAAGAATTTACTTTAAATCTTGATAGAATCATTTCCAAAATTTAAATATTTTGATATTCGCAATCTGCTATTAGAACTCTAGAACAGCATCTTTCAGTTGCTGAAAATTTAATTATTTCACTTTACATTTTAGTTGATACAAAAGACTGGTATTTAAACAGGGGATAGAGGATCTGTTCCAAAATCTAGGAAGAGATTGGATGATGTAGGTTATATCTCGAGGATCATTCAATAAAGTATTTCCATTTGCACTATTATTATAGAGAAAAATTATGACTCTAAGCTACACAGCTTATTATGAATAAAATATATATACAAAATTAATAAATAAATTACATATAGCACATAATATTAACAAATTCTTTTTGTAATAATAAAATAATTTAATTTAATAATTGTATATAGTAATAGCTAACATTATAGAAAAACGAATATAGTATATTTAGTGCTTATAAACAAGGTAAATAAAAATATTGGAAAGCCTATTTAGATTATTCATGATATAATACCTAAAATATTATTAATTGCTGTTTTTGGGAAATGAGGTAATTAATATTTAGATTATGATGGTGTAGTTTAATAATTTAGTCTTTTCTATTATTTATTCTCTTCATCTTAATAAAATATATTTATTATTTAATCAAAAGAATGAGAATCTTTCTATTTAGAATTTGGAATATTAACTGAATCTGCTTTCAATTTAGATATTTGAGAAACATAATTGCTCTAATATTCTGAATACTTTTAACTAAATTATTTTGATATTCTAGATTAAGAAAATTGAAGAGAATGATCCATAGATACTTTATTAGATTCTTCTCTAAATAATGTCTAAGTTTTTTCATTCTATTTAGAAGTTTCTTAATATGCTAATAATTAACTTAATGAAGTTTCTTAATAATGAGTTTCTCCTATCAATCTTATTGCTTTCATTTCTTCATTTTTAATATTAAATGATTGCAATGTAAATTTGAAAGCTGTTCCATAAGGTTCCACTTATGCGATCTCTAACCCTTTTTTGGTAGATCCTGATCAATATTGAGCTAATAAATTGTAAAGATGGCTTTTTTAAATTTAATCTTATTATTCTTAAATCCTTTTCATCAATATTGATTGGAGTGTGTATGATGATTTAGAATGCTTTGGAATTAAACATTTTCCAAGATATTAAAATATTATCATCTTTAGTTTATTTTATGCAATATTTAATTAATGGTAACATCAATTATTTTAACTAAAATATTGAAAATTTTACATTACTCTTTCTGCATCAGTTTCAATATTGTTTTCTGTTGCTTCATGTTCCAATTTGATTTCTATTCCTTTCGCTTTAGAAGTATCTTATACCATAATTATTAAATCTTCGCAAATCTATGAAATTTCAACCGAACTTATTCTTAATAACAGTTTCTTTTGATTATGAAGATTAAAATCTCTCATATTTGTTAATTAAAGATAAACAATCACACTTGAGATTCTAATTGGATAAAAATACTTCTCTAACATATAATTGTTTATTTATGCATCTGATTCTGCCAAAACTGATATTGCCATTATTGAATTTAAACTAGGAGTTATATAAGTGGCAAATTAAGAAAATGCTTAAAAAGAAGGTTAAAATACTACTTCTTTTTATTCTATTTAAATAAAAATAAAAGTTTTCTTATTTTTATTTACCAAAAATACTTTAATGATCCAATCATTCATCCATTAAGTATCTACTTTATTTATTAAAAATAAATTATTTTTATAAAGTTCATAATCTCCTATCAATCTATTAATCAATTCTTTTAATGTAAATCTATTTTAATTAATTGTCCCACTACTTGCAATCAAATCTAGAAAATCTCGATTACCTTATACTATTGCCAAATTTAAAATCGCAGCTACACTTTCATTCTCCATCGAATTACTAACTGAATTTCTTGATAAATCACCAACATTGAAAGTTTAAATTATTACGTTATCTTAATCATCTAGTACAATAAATTATTGTCCCTTTATCCAAGCACTTATTTATATATATATATAATTTACTATTCATCCATCAGTACAGAATCCATTGATTTTGAAAGTTCCTTCAAAGGAGATAATCCTCCATATACAGGACTTTTATATTCACATCTTCCGATTTATAAGGATCAAACTCTTTTTAAGGTAAAGCTGATATACAAATATCAAAATCTTTTGATTCCTTTTGAGGATTCTTTTCAGAATTTTATTTATAATTAATTTGACGAAATGATAAGATTATTGATAAAATAATGAGAAAATTGTTCTTCAAAAAACACATTCCCAATAATAAATAAATGAGTTAATTTAGCCAAACTGAAGTCATTTGCTAATTATTCTTGAAATACTGAATGAATGAGATTTAAGTTTATAATTACTAATAAAATTTTTTGTCTGTAAAAATAGTTCAAAGTTAGTTAGGCTGATATTCTTAATATACCAAGGATTAAAAAAGGATACCCTGATTTCTTTTGATCTTTTATAGAATATAAGATTCTAGCACACAATGCCATAATCATTAAATCAATAATTTTTATGATGAGTGTTATATTTTATTGAAAGGCTAAAACAATTTTTTTTTAAATTAATTACCTTCATATTGCAATAGTATCATACAGATTTCATGATTTATCAAGAGTAATATCTAGATAACTTTTTCAGTCATTAATTATTATCAATTCTAATAATTTTGAATATGAAAATATTAATATACATATAATTCATTTATTAGATTACTTTTTTAGACATGAATTTTTATTATTAACATATGATAAGATTATGATCTTATAAACTTATATATAATATATTATTATAGAAGATATAATACAAGTTGAATTGACTAAATAAAATATATTTCAATTAACAGCAAACAAAAATTCCTTTATCAGTTCTTCCCTTATCCTAGTTAAAAAATCCCTAAATAAATTTGTGAAATATTATTGATAGTTTTTTTTAAGTTATGAAACTGTAAACTATTTTCCAGTTTAGGAAATCTTTACATTTTATTGTATAAAATTTTCAATATCAATATTTTTTAAGTTATCATTATCTACTTTGGAATAAACGATGCTATTGTTTTCTTCTTCAGTTTCATCTACTAATGCCACATCTTAAACATATTTAGTAATTTTTACAATTTTCTCTTTAATTTATTTAGATAATGAAACCCATTTATATGTTTTTGGATATTGTTGTAAATTTAGAATAACAATTTGGTAATAAATTGCATCTAAAAACCCAATCACTTTCTACTTTATTTGGATATCCTTTAACTAATAAAATTTCATAAATTTGTGTATCTGAAATTGAAGAAATAAAGGCTTAATAAATTAATTTTGGATATTCCTCATTTTCAAAAGTAAAAATTGAATTCATCTATTATTATTTGATTTTAAACAAACTATTTTCGAAACATTTTTAAAATATTTGATATGCTCTTCTTCCTTATATAATATACTTTTAAATGCATAATGTTAACCAACTTTTGGTAGGATCCTTAGTTCACTTAAATCCAAATCAGTTTAAATTTACTACTTGATAAAATCTGTAAATGCATCATTTGTGCTTTTTCTGCCTATTATTATTATAATGGAATATTTCTTGAATCAGAAAGAACTGGCTTAATTTTCTTAATTCGTTTCAAAACCTTTTCATGAGTTAATCTTTATTAAAATTCAGATGCTACAACTCTAAGTGCATAAGCTTAGCAACAACTTTAAGCAAGAGAAGGCTTGTAGTTAATAGACTCCACATCTTCTCCATCCTCTATCCAACAATTATTGATATTCATCAACTTTCATTTTGTAACAATAAAATCCAGATGTAACCCATAGTTTATTTGATTTAACTCTAATGTTATTTTGGTAAAGGGGGATCAGATACTTATCTTTTTTATTCCTTTTTAATTTTTGCTTTTTATCTCTTCATTATTTTATGGTTCTATCGATTGATGAATTTTGTTTTGTCTTTCACTAATTTTAGGTAACATTTATGGAGTATTTGGTTTTTTAACAGTTGGTGGTTTGATAGCTTACGATTAAGGTGTTTCAGATTACTCTTTTTTTTGATTTCTTCTAATATCTATCAAATAATAATATAGATTATATATACTTGCTCCAGTCCAATTATAATATAATTAAGAAGCAAATTCAATAATTTTACTATATTCTGAAGCATCTTCTAATGGATATATCTTTACATAATCTCCTATTTTCATGTTAATCTCTTTATTAAGAACACTATTGGATTAGAATTTATTTCTCTTCCAATGTTAATTTCTATTTCTTTCCAGTCAAAACTCTTTACTATAATTATTCTCTTCTTGATGATATTATTTCTTCTTTAGCTTTAAGACTTACATTCATCAATTTTAAAGTGTCTCTAATCAGATTCTTTTTTATTAATGAGTCTAACGGTGTATCCGTTGTAAAACTAGGTGTGTGATTCACTTCCAATAAAAAAGGTCTCATTTTATCATTAATAAATATATCGAATCCTAAAATTTCAAAACACATATTATCAGGTTAACATGATTTATAATGATGATTGAGTATTGGTTGAACAGTGCAAAAAGTTTTAGTGAATAATTTATACATATCTTACCACAATTTTTAAATGTTATGGCCTTCATCTTGTAACTTACCAAAGACTGATTTAATTGATCTTTTATGACCAACATCCATTTTAGTAGCATCATTATTAAAAACAAAATTTGGGTTTTCTTTGTTAATAGCATAATTCATTAAATGCATACATACATCTAAATTATTTGTTGTCGGAGTAACATATGGTTCAGTCGCAAATCTAACTAATCCATCTTAATAGACATAAATTCTCATAGGATCCGTTCCAGCCAATAATACATAAACTCTTAAATCAAATTTCAATCCTTCTATCAAAAAGCGTCTATGCATCTATCTTTATGCAACATAATGATCAGTTGGATTTATATCATTAATGTTTCTGGTTAGAAATATTCCTCTTCCTTAACAACTTGCTTCAGGTTTAACGATGAATGTTCTTACTTTCCCTTTGACAAATTAATTGTTAAAATCTCCATATTCAGCTGGCAGTAGCCAAGTTTATGGAAAGAATTTATAATCATTTAGAAATTATTTTCTCATTTTCATTAGGTTTCTACCAAGATGATTTTTACGTGCAAGTGAAAACACGCCAGGAAAATGATTAATCTTTTAATGGGTTTTTAAAAATATTTTTTAACAAACTTACGTTACATTTTCCCTAAAGTTTCAGGTTAAACATCAGTCCAAAACATTCATATTATAATATCCATTTGAATATTTTTTTACCAACAAATTTTACAACATCATATTTTGTATCTCTTTTAGATTTATAATTTACCTGACTCATTCATAACCAACGTTTATTTCTTTCTTTTATCATCCATCTAATCGTCACTATGATCTTTGAATGTTCCGTTAAATATTGGTTCCTCTTCTTTAGATTTTTTAGATTGCTTTTGTTACATGAATTTTAATAATTATTATATTTAAATGAGAGATTATTGATTTCATATCATAAATATCATCAATTATGGGAATGCATAATTTCATACTCCCTTTTACAACATACTTTTCGATTTAAACCATTCTTAAAATTAATACAATACACTTATTTCACTGTATAAACATATACAACAATCATACTCTTATTAAGGAGTTACACTCTAAAAATCTATAAATAAACTCAGTTTTATATGTTTTTGTTAATTTTTCAAATAAAAACTTCATTTTTTATATTTATGATATTGTAAATTTAATATTTTTTATAT